GCTCCAAACATAGGATTATTTGTATTGAAAATCTTTCTAATAATGAGTCTATGTATGGAGAGTCTTCCTAATGATAGCTCCAGACATATACCATTATCATGAGCTAACAGTATATGATGTGTTGTTATCATTAGGTGATTTACTTAATTTATTGTTGCATGTGTTGCTTTTTGTTGCAAATGTGTTGTGTATTATGTATATATAAGGTTTGTTGTAATGCATATAGGTGGTTTTCCAATTTTCAAGTGCTTGGGGCAATTTCATGATTTGGATTGTGTAGAAATCACAATCATGTTGGGCATGCCTTCATGGTGTCGAGTGCAGTTAGAGGCCTCTGTCTCGATCACACCAGGTGGAGGATTGGTTGCATCGAGTGTGAGTGGTCCTCATATTCCCCTGAAGATTACGAGTGTACCCTCATGCAGGTACAGTTATAAAATTTTCATGTTTAATTTCTTACCGATAATTATCTCAAGAATAATAGTTAACAAAACCTGAATTAGTATTTATACCATTTTTTTTCTTGGTTGCAATTGGAACTGTATTGTATCTATATATAATCTGATGATGAGATCCGTTGTAATTGTCAGCACTGATTTGACTCGAGACATATTGATACATGCTAGCATTTTATATATTCCTTTCTTTGGTGGAAGAATGTGAATAAAACCCTGTAAATTCAACCAGAATTTGAAAAAGGGAAATGCATGCGAACAATCGGTTAAAGCTATTATAGAAATTAATGAGAAATCAGTTAAATCAAATTTCAAACGAAGTTAGGGAAGAGCAATAAGGGTGATGGTTTTCTTTTGGTAATGAAAACATTACTACTATGTAGCAAGAATATTTAATTCTGGTTGTTGGGTTTATGTGTGGGTAGATAATTACATAATCAAGTATGCATCAGAAAATGATTCTCGATCCACATACACATAAGATAAGTCACTATATAGAGAAGGAGAATGAGGTTTGGTCCCTTTAACCCACCATGCCACCTATTAGGATTTGTTCTACATCTATTTTTCATAGTGCTTTCCCAATACTTCTGTTTGGTGGGATTCCACCAACCTTAACCTCATTGCAAGATGGAATCCGAACACGAAACCACCAACTTTAATTCCTGGGCCATCACACCCACAAATTTATGCTCCGTCCATAATTATTTATATCAAAATTCAAAGAATACAATTTTCGCATGTAATCTATCCCCGACCACAGTACACGTCAGAGGTCAAACAATTATGCTGTGCATTGTCGTATAAACATCATTCTGTCATTGTGAATCATTATTGTTCATTAACATAAATTTAAATACGCTAACTAAAAGCGTATTTAAATGTTTTTATTATCATCAACGAATAATAGAATATGTTACATTAATCTTACTAAAGAAAATTGCATTTTTTTATTTATTTTTTATAATTAAAATAATATTTTTACTTCATATAATTATTATTAATTAATTTCTCCATGCATGAAATATTTAAATCAATATCTAAGTTTTCCGCTGCTTCGGAAATGCTGAAAATAAGTGAAATTTTCACATTTTCTTCTTCTTATGATAAATATATTGATTGACATACACTTTATATAAATCTATGTAGTAGTTTTCTAAAGTATTGAATATTCTCACATGATACATGCGCAAGCGCAAACAATTTATTTTTTGGGTGGGCCCGGGGATGTGTTAAAAAGAGATTTCAACAAATTATCTTTCTACACGATGCATTGTTGTTTTACATATTGACAAAACCATCAAGGGATATATTAGATTAAAAGAAGAGGCCTATATCTTAAGAAATACAGTAATAGATGAGGTAAAGAATTCAGAAATTTAATGTATGAAAAGGGAAGAATTCAATTACAGGATTGTGTAGCGGAAACACATTGTAGAAGAAACATGCATATAGGAGATCTGGAGATGTAGTTTCGAAAGTTGTTCTCCATTCTTGAAACCATAAAGATCAATGTCCAAAATTAGTGTGTTCTAACCAAGTGTCGGATAACTATGAATTATATGACATATTATGGACGCAACTTAATAGATCAGAACGAGACGACAATGTCTGTCTTCCCTTCTCTTTTTAGATGCCAGGCAACTTAGGTTTCAAGTGCATATGTAACTCAACTTTAAAGGAAATTAAAATTGATGGAAATAGTCTAGCTATAAATTCAACTTTTCTTTCTAAAAGGTTTCTTTAAATCTTAAAAGAAAAAGGAAGCATGAACTCAAAAAAACTTTTGTTTAAAACTTAATTTTCCAGAATTTCAGAGATGTCATTTAAGAAAGAGTGAATGAAGACTGTGGAGATTAACATATTTCATACACAAAAATGGCATTGTTTATGCTGGACAATTGTGGTTGTGGGCAATTATTCCACAGTAGGAACCGTTATAATATGTAATTTGTGGTATTTATACTGCTTTTGTAATTAATTATTTTATTTTATGTTATTTATAAGTAAATACTGAAAAAATATTTAATAATAAATTAAAGATATAAAAAATAATCTTAAATAAATTTAAAAATTAATAATTTTTACTTATAATTAAAAATAAAAAAATCTAATATGTTACTTATAATTATAACTAAAAATAAATTTTATATATAAAATATTATTTTGGTTTTTCACATTTTGTTATATTATTATTGTGCCCTTAATTATTATTGGTAAATGTCTCATTTCTGCTAGTAAATTGTAATTGAAGACAGTTTGGTAGGTTCTCAATCACTCTTGTGATCAGTAAATCACTTTAGAGAGAAAAACATGCATTCTATCTCTTTGATACCTATAATAAAATAGACTTTTAGTGATAATAAAAATTATTGTAAAATTTTTATCAATATTTTTACATTAGTTATTATATGTAGTATCGCTAAAATATTTACCTGACATTTAATATTTTGTGTTATTGCCACTAAAAGTTGATTCATAATACTTTTTAATTATCATATCTCTAGTTAATGTGAGATTTTATAGGATTGTCCACTATTTATATATTCTTTAATTTTCTTATTTTTTAATTAATTATTTTATTAATAATCGATGTGAAACTTGAGTTTTTTCTTTATTTTTTTAATTGTCTTATCTCCTAATAGATGTGAGACTTACAAGGTGAAAGTTGTTCTCTACTGACATATTCTTTAATTAATTTATCTATAATCGATGTGAAATTTGGATTTTTTTTCTTATTTTTTTAATTTTCTTATCTTCTAATTAAGATATATGGAACTTGTAAGGTAAGAGTTGTTATCTACTTACATACTCTTTAATTATTTTATCTATAGTCAATGTAAGACTTAAATTTTTTCTAATAAATAATTATTGGTAATAGTAAATTTTTGTATGATGTAAATACATTTTTAGTGACTATTATATATTAATCATTAATATTTTTATTAGATAATAAAATAGAAACAATTAATTTATTATTATTAAATAATTATCAGTAATAATAAATTTTGTTGTAATGAATTATGAAAAATTAGAAGTAAAAAATTATTAAATTTATATTTTATTATGTATGTGTGTAATGTTAATCATTTTAATTTTATGATTAATAATTATTCTTTTGAAGGAATATTAGTATTTTCGAAGAGTTGCATCTAACCACTAATAAGTTCAATCATAACTACATGGATGTAAGCATTGCAATCTCAGCCACAATTACTGAAAGGAAGTTCATATGCTACTGCCCACGTCACTTGCATTTAGTGTGGCATCATGATACCATCTAGCCGTTTTTATTGGAATTCATGATTATTGCAGACCTTATCAACATTCACTTAATGAGGGGCACAAAATTTTAAGTTTAATTCATTAAATTTTTAATTCTTTTATTGTTTATATGCAATTTTAATGTAATATATTTTCTTCTTGAACTCATCATTTGTTTAATTACATTAAGCAAAATATGTATCATTCCCTTATTTCATTTGATTTTGAGTTGGATGCTATATCAACGGAAACAAGAATCCACTTGGGTGAAAGGAATATAGCACGATCTAACAATATCACGAAAGTCAAAATATATATTATAGTGGAATTTTGTTTTCGATACATACATGATCATGGAATTATATCTGTTGTTCTCTTTTCTTGTCTTTTTTTTTTTTTTGTTTTTTTGTTGTTCTCTATTCTTGTCTTGTTATACCAATTAATTGAACGATAAAAATTTAATAAGAAATAATAATTAAGAGAAAAATATTATTTTCAAGAAAAAAAATTTTAGTTATTGTCATTAATTGAAGAGACCAAAAACAACATATTTGAATTGCAATGATTAGTTTGATTATTTTTTGAGTGGTATAACACGTATGTTGAAATAGAGAATTTGATTATTGAGCTATTTAATGGATATTAAATAATATTGTTTGTATTATTATTCTTACTATTGCATATCTTAATCCCACTCTAAGATTTGAGTGTGAGATTCTATAAATATATGTTGAATTCAAATATAATTAGATTACAATCATAGCATGTATATGTTTGTGGGGGTCGAGACATATAATGTGGCGATAGGCAACGTAGGTGAAAAATCTCTAATTAATGAATGATTTTTAACTCATTTCATCCTTATTTCTGAATGGTGTACACATATACAACACCCACTCTTACTTAACACCACATAGGAACATATTTGCTGGCGTCATGACCAAGCACTAAACCCAAATTTCATTCGGTGGTCAATGAATCAAGCACCCCATCCCACTTCCCGTAAATTAAACAAACAGAAAAATTATACAATAAAGAAAGATAAATTGTATCAAGAGGACAATAAAAATAATTTTCTATAATATCTGGCTTGCTTTTTTCTATTATACACATAAAGAGGATTCTAGTAATTGCAAGGAACATGTTTGTTTTGGAAAATGAGTAAGGGAATCATTGGGGTGAAAAATGAAGTGGGAGAGTTAGTGGCTTGGACAAGTAAGTGTTTGTTGTGTGAAACCGGGTCTTCTTTTTAAATAATTTTGCTTTTTTGTCCTATAAAAGGAGCACTTCACGTTTTGAGGGTCACCCACAAACTCATAAGTCACAACTCACAACCCATAACTCGTAGAGAGAGTTTGTGTGTGTTTTGTGTGTCACCTATTGGATCGGTGCATGCAAAAGATGGAGGACCAAAATGGTAGTGGTAAGTTCAGTGAGGGGCTTCGCAAGGTGAAGCCTTATCTTGCTATATTGTCCCTTCAGTTTGGCTACTCAGGGATGTATATCATCACTATGGTTTCTTTCAAGCATGGCATGAGTCATTGGATACTCTCAGTCTACCGTCATGTAGTTGCAGCTATTATAATTGTCCCCTTTGCACTTGTCCTTGAAAGGTATATAGTATATCTTTCTCTTCCTCTTTCAGAGTGTGTGTGTGTGTCCGTTCCACTTCTCAAACAACAGCAGCTTTTGTTGTTCCTGATTCCCAAGATCCTTATAATAAGGTTTTGTTTTTATTACAGAAAAATACGACCAAAGATGACTCTTCCCATCTTCCTCAGGATAGTGGCACTTGGTTTCCTCGAGTAAGGCTCTTCAGACTATACTATTTACAGATACCATATACAGAAACATACATTTAATTCGTTTATTCTTAGACTCTTCATTGGGTTGGATAATTCGTTATAATATTTTTAATTACTTATGCATGCATGCATAATAAGTAGCTATACATTTAACATGACCCTTTTTATTATTTTGTTGAAGTGACAAAGAATTTATTTTCTTCCTTGTTCGGTAAAGGAAAAAAGATTCCCAGGGAATATAAATATTCAAACAATAAAATACTCAGTTCGAATTTTATTTTTTTAACTTTTTTTCCCAACTTGTTTCACACTTGCACTGCTTTCCTTATTTACATGATCATAAATAAGAACAGAAACACATAACACATTACAACACTTTCAATAAAACCCTCAAGTTAAAATCAGAGGAATAATTAATATATATTAACTAAATACCTATGTACGTAACTTATAAGTTATTAATGCATAAATAATAATTAATTAAGTAAATTAATGTATTAGGCAATTTATCAAACCCGAAACACTACTTCGGCGGTGTTTACTGTTTTCCTTATTTTTATTCAGCCGATAATTGGTTGTATAATTCTTTATCATGAAACAAAAATCCTTAAATTAATAATATATAGGATATATAATATAGATATAGCTATTCTGCATAATCGATCTATAACCCAAAACTAATATAAATGAGATTATTACCTGATAGTGACGTTCATAATGCTCCACCTTTTGTAGCGGACACGTCCTACCGAAGAAAGTGACCCGTCCAATAATCATTTAAAACGCAATGTTTCCAATCATAATGTCATTATTTTCTTACTTACCAATAATTTTAATTCCTTTTGTTATTTTAATTAAACCATGCTACGGAAATGCTAGTAGGGCATGTGTGTGTTGGTACAACGTTTTTGATGTGCAATTAGTAACTCTGTTGGTGATGAAATGGAACAGGCCAGTGCTAGATCAGAACCTGTATAACATGGGGATGAAAATGACCTCAACAACGTTTGCATCGGCCACTGTTAATGTCCTCCCGGCCATAACTTTCGTAATGGCACTCATTTTCAGGTAAAAGATTAATTCATCACTATTCACCGTTATATAAATGGATATTAGTGCGCTTACGCAAAGGTAAAAAGGCTAGTTGCATTCCAAAGAATAATAGGATCCACCCTGCATGCATGACATGGGGCCACTACTTGACAAATGATGTCACAAACTATTAAATCTGTGCCATATGTATCCACACTCTTTGCAATATTAATTCTTAAATTAAATCTTGATTGATTCCAACTAGTCCAATGATATCCCTGATGCAAGTTGGACCAAACAAGATTATTTTTAATTTAGTTGGGACATATGCATATCAAATAATATTCTTCTAATTTTCTTTGTTATTCACTGTTCAAGATTTATTCTATTGAATCTAATTAATGACGTGGAAGTTAATTATTGTACTGATTACCAGGCTAGAGAAGGTGAACTTGAGAAAATTCCACAGCCTAGCCAAGGTCATTGGAACAGTTATAACAGTTTCAGGAGCTATGGTTATGACCCTGTACAAAGGCCCTGCATTTCAAATCATAAAGGGTGGAGGAGCCATCAGCCAGCATAGCAACTCTACCAGTACTACCACTGAACCCTCTGACCAGCATTGGATAGTTGGCACATTAATGCTCGTATCAAGTTGTGCTAGTTGGGCTGGTTTCTTTATTCTGCAAGTAAGTATATATAGCCAAAACGAATCATTCACATATGATGGAGAAATTATTGCATACATAGTACGTATAGAATAATGTCTTCTGATTAATCTTCACTTGACATGTACTCATATTTTTAATTTACAAAGAAAACAAATATGTCATGTAGAGATAGATAATGATATCAATGGAATCTAGTCGGTAAGTTGAATAGAATATGAAGATGTTATAAACTTTATTAATACTGAGTTAGATTGTCATGAATTAAAAAAAATAGAAATAGATCGAGATGATGACATAATTCGAAGTATGTAATAATTTCTCTGCTTTGTGTAATTAAGAATCTGACTTTGTGTTACTATTTTGTGGAATTAGTCATTCACTTTGAAGAAGTACCCAGCAGAGCTCTCACTCACAGCTTGGATTTGCGTGATGGGTATCATTGAGGGTTCAATCGCATCCCTTATATTTGAAAGAGACTTCAGTGTGTGGGCCATAGGCTGGGACTCTAGGCTTCTTGCTTGTGTTTATTCTGTGAGTACCCTAAAACCATTGAATGATGAATGGTGACTTCTTAATTAATGATTCAACTAACTAAAAATTTGTGATAAATAATAATTAACCAGGGGGTGATATGTTCTGGAATGGCGTATTATGTGCAAGGGGTTGTAACTAGGGAACGTGGACCAGTGTTTGTGACATCTTTCAGCCCTCTATGTATGATTATCACTGCTGCATTGGGTTCCCTTGTCTTAGCCGAACAAGTTCATCTAGGAAGGTATGTATTATATTAAAATATTTGCGTGTGTCAATAAATTGATAGCAAATGCTAAAGTAATGTGCTAATTAAGTTTATCTTGTGTTTAATTCCTTCTCAGTATATTTGGGGCGATTCTGATTGTGTGTGGACTTTACACTGTGGTGTGGGGCAAAAGCAAAGACCGTCAGAGCACAAAAGATATAGGGAAAGATGAA